AGGAAATTGGATTATGATGGGATTGTAGTCGCGAAATTCCCAGAACTTATTGGCGCGTAAGCTTTCGACACGATGGGCCCAATGCGCATTTACTAAGCGCTACGAATTTCGAAACGAAGTCGATTTCATGGCGCATCTTGAAGCAAAGATTGAATAGCAGATTTCTGTAGAACTGCACTTCTGTGTACTGTACTACAGTATTCTGTAATCTGCAATTATTTCATAACTCATAGATTATTATTTAACGTATAATAACGGCCTGAATCATTCAATAGTAAGTTTCGAAAAATTCGCGAATGTCACATGACTTATGCACCACCCAAATGTAATACCGTAGTACGCATTACATGACTATTCAAACGCAAATGACTTTGGACAAAAAGATAAAGAATTAGCATGACCTGTTTTGAAAGACCTCGTGATGGGTGGCACAGCATGTTGGGTGGTACTGATGCACAGAATCTCATCATCAATCTACCTCAAATCTTAAAGGATGAGGAGAAAAACGATTTCTAATGGAGTTGTCGGTGGAAATGGAGTTGGGAGGGGCATTTCCGGCAAGGAAAGAAAATTTGAACATGCCTCTCACTCATTGAAGTTGTACTTTCGATGGGTGAATCGTATTGGAAACGATGCTAGGAATTGATTCTGAGCCAGGTATGGACCAATTCCTACCCAAGGGAGTGGGTGGAGAGATGGGAGGAGCTCCCGCGGTGGGGATCATGTGCAAAAATTGAATAGGGCCTGGATAACATATTTAGAATGTAGGGCACTACACTGGTCCTCAAAGTATATTCAAACGCTATTTGTTCATTAAGGGTCTTTCACATGCGCATCAGAAATGGCGGGCTGCTCAGCGATTAAAGGCGCAGAGCATAACGGAGTGCCCCCCCAGCTCCATTTTGACCCGAGTTGTCTAAAGGAGACCTTCGTTCTGTCCTATGTCCCGACCTGTTAGAAGAGTAGGTAGTGGCAAGTGGCGCCGTCAGCACACGTGTCTTTCTCAGATCATCTCCTGGACCAAATCCTGCTCAGGTTGTAAGGGCACCCTCTTATCTCTTCAAAGCCACTCAGTTGCTTCTAGACCTGTCTAAAATGATGAATATAATGTCCTGAACATTGTTGTCTCTAACAAAATATTGTATGGTCCCCAAGCACATCTAATAGGCTCTTTGATTTTACAAGAAAGTCGTATGCATGGCGCATCTCAATACAGAGAATTCATTAACGTTCACCGCCTTTAATTTTAGGATTTTGACTCTTTTCTTCTTCTGAAGCTTCAAGAATTGCTGTTGCTGCGAAAGTGTATGGCTTTCACCTTCAGTTTGTGAGCGCGCAGTTCTCTCCGCTACTCAATTCTTCAGCCAGTTTCCTGGCACTGTGACCTGGAATTTTCTAGAGCGATCGGACAGACAGACATACCTTTACGCAGAGCTGTTTGAGAAATAGACAGCTGGACGAACGGATGTGTAAAAATGACGGTGCTAGAGAAGAACAATATCGAGGCGCGTAAACTTTCTCAAATAGTTCAGTGGTTTCACTTATTGCTAAGAGTATGGTAGCGTAGTGGGAGGCGAAGAGAAATGGACGCGATAGGAAGGGGTCGTTTGATGGGCCGCACCTTGACTCTTGGAGAAGAGGACGAAGATTTTAAGCTGTTGAGAACAAAGTCGGGTGTCGAACATGTCGTTGTAGAGAGGGGGGAGGTGGTGTGAAGGGACAGCCATGTGCATAGCTAATGGGACAGTACTTGGGACTCTGCTTAGAGAGAAAAAGGGTTTGGGAACATAGTTGAGCAATTGTTATCCGCGACGTTTCTCCGCTCTCCCGAACTTAGTCCTCTCACTCACCAGTTTTAAAATGCTCTGTTTTAAATATCCGCTCCCACCCTCTCCAAGGCTGTGTGAGCACTGAGTCGTTGACGCTTCACTCTTTAGCAATACCAATATAATTACTTTCACTTCGCAATAGGGATGCTGCAGATTGGGCCGAAACAATCGCATCTCAACGGAAGGACTATTGCTTCACATTCTATTGCTGGTAACTTATCATGGCACTGAGAGGCCTTGGAACGAAGTTTAGTCTGGTCCTCCCGTATTATTTTGAGAGAATCTTATTGAGTTTCTTAGTATAATCCATAACTACGGGCATCTAAACCCATAAAAGGTTTTGGAACATTGAAAAGAACTCTTTTCGATTAAATGAAAAACTTTGCTGAATCGTAGCATGTTTCCAATCAAATAACTTTGCGTAGGACGACATCCCATTTATTGCGATTTTACCCGCCCGTGAAATTTATGTGGGGGTGAATGAACGAAAGAGAAAGTTGAAACGCACATTCCACACACATCACCAGCAGGTGGTTGATCGTTCGAGGTTCAGAGTTGATATAAATAGAAATTGCCCTTGACGGAATGATCCTCATGATTTGCACGGGATTCTCACCACACCGTCTAAAAATATCGTATTCAGCGCCGTTTTTGTAATGCTCTGTCAGCTCGGAAAATTGCTTTCCTCCTTTATTTCTTTTTTATTAAAAAAAAGAAAATGTCTTTGCGACTCAATCCTAAATGGGCAACTGAAAAGTTCTGAAGACTGCCAGTTATTGATTTGTAGCACTTTCAACCTTTTTTGTAACACTTTCAACCTTCACCCGAAAACATCGCAGTAGATTTTGGATCTCCTCAGGGCATCGATGAATGTCTCAAGTTTTTGTTTTTAAGTTAGACTCGATCCAGTTCCATGTGTGCTTTCGGGTAGCATGCCTGTATTTTGCTCTACCGGGGCCTTATATGTAGTATTGTTTCATGTCAGCTTCGGAGGCCTCAGTAGTAGCTGGGATATTCCTCTTAGAGCTAGCAGGTTTATCCCACTGCACAAAAAAAGGGGAAGTTGGTGTAGTGGCACAGTGGACAATGCTTACACGCGCGCGGTCCGGGATCAAATCTGGGTCGTGAGTCGCCCGGGCCAACCAAGCCTTCCATCCCTCCGGGGTCGGTTAATTGGTACCAGACTTGTCTGGGAGGATAAAAACACTGACTTGTACATCGGCTGGCCCCCGCAAGTCATTGTATAGGCCACATCGCATTCAAACGCCACTACGAATGTACAAATGGAAGTAGAATGCGTGCCGCATCCCAAAAAGGGATTGATCAACGGCAAATGCTTTATCCTTTTTTTTATCCATTAGAAAGATTTTGAGATCGATATCCTGTTCTAATATGGCTTCTATACAGAATTTGGGGTTACTAATAAAGGATAAAGGATAAAGCATTTGCCGTTGATCAATCCCGTTTTGGGATGCGGCACGCATTCTACTTCCATTTGTACATTCGCAGTGGCATTTGAATGCGATGTGGCCTATACAATGACTTGCGGGGGCCAGCCGATGTTCAAGTCAGTGTTTTTTATCCTCCCAGACAAGTCTGGTACCAATTAACCGACCCCGGAGGGATGGAAGGCTTGGTTGGCCCGGGCGACTCACGACCCAGGATTTGATCCCCGGACCGCTCGCGTGGTGAAGCGCGCCACTTGTCACTACACCACTTCCGCCCCTAATTTTATAGGAAAAATTTTTCACTTCAAGATTACTATGCTATAATTATTATTTATTTATTTGTTTTTATTTTAATTTGAGAGTACATTGGTCTAATACTTAGCCTCAATACGGTGCCGTACTGAAATATTCCAAAATTCATTTTCGGCATAGTATTCTTTTCTAAATGTGAAAACCTTAGTAAATGTGGCTCAAGGAAATATTAAACAGGAAAGCATGGCCCTGTAGGTTGCGTCCCTTCTCAGAAAAAACGCCACGAATATCTAAAATTCGTTTGGAACCGTAGTGGATTTCAATGGTACCTGCTGTATACAGAAGTTTCGCTAGGATTGATAGTTTGAACCTATTTTACTCAATTTGCTGAGTCGTTTCGCACTTCACAAAACTTTGCTAGTCTCATAATGGCGCTTACCCCTCCAAGCTCCTCTTGAACTCGCTTATCGATAAATAAGTCAATGTTTTGATCCTTCCAGATAAGCTTGTACCAATTAAGCGATGTTGGAGCGGGAAAACGCTTGCTTAGCTTAGGTGACGACCAATCCCATCGTTGCACGTGGAAATCGGCGCCACTTGCGACCTAAACCAATTCGAGCCAGATAATTAAGGTGAAAAAATTTCAAGTGTCAGTTCCAAAGAACAGAGTGTTTGAGAGTTCCAAAGTGCGCAAGGTAAGAATTACGTGACAAAAAAGACTCGAACCAGCGAAGCTCTCGCTGCATTGAACGGTTGTACGACGTCCGACTGATGTATTGACTTTTTTGCCAGTTGTTTCGATTTTTCCCAGGTGTGACGTCAGGGCAACTATCCCAGATTCCTGAAATATCCACTCTGTTCGGCCTATAGTTGGTTTTTATGATAGTTGTGAAACATTGACTGTGCGTTGACGAAATGCAATCAGCTCTGAGCTACGCTGTGCATTTTCTGAATGTGTCTGCTGAGTGCGGTAGTGTATGTGTCTCATGATCGCGTATTTATTGAATGAGCGACACCTATGTATACATGCATGTAATCAATAATAGTAGTGATGACCACGTAATATCTGAATAGAAATTCAGTACCACGGACTTTCACTCAGTAAGATCTGGGCCGAGGCTTACTGTAACCGCCTCATGGTCCAGTTGACCCTCGCTCCAGTTCGGCTTCAGAAAAGCAACCAGCGGATCATGCGGATGTGGTCTCATTTCGCTATCCCTGTTAAGAAGAAAGTTGGAATGACATTTGCAACATTCGATCTCACAAACTGTGCCCGTATGAGGCGGCGCCTCAAGCGAGTGCGCCATTCACCATCGCCATCTGTGAATTTGTACTGGGAAAATAAATGGAATTGAGCTTAGATGCTTTAGATCTGAAAGTATTCAATAATCAATAAATTTCCTAGTACTACTCATTTCATGGACATATCTCTCGAGTAAGCCGAAATCGCTTACTGTCCGTCTTTGTTTCGATGTTCAAACAGGAAGGATCTGTTCGAGATTCTCGCCTGCTCGAATCCGGAAATCATCAACGTTCGGGGTAAGGATGAATCGGTAAGTGCTGAAATCTTCTGGCCCTGACCTGAGGTGTACTCGGGCGTCATAAACGGGGTCATGTAGGGTATCTTTACCTTCTCTGGTGGCGACCTTGCTCATCGCCATAAATCAGCTCAGAGTAAAGGGGAGATGAGTGTACCAATGTGAACTCGAGAGGTTTCGTTCTATTAGTTAGTTAGTTCAGAACGACTGTTCTGTCATGCCAGGGGTAACTTTTACGTGTTCACACGGTGCCTAATAATGCGAGGGCGTGTTAAGCTGATTCTTGGAGTTAGATTGTATTTCGGCGGTCGGGACGCAATAGAATCGAGGGGCGGTGGCGTATCGTTAAGTTCAAGAGGTTAGTGCAATAGATGGGAAGAGCGCGGCGGCAGTGGATGTATTCTCGCCAGTTGGCGAAGGATAAAAGGAGATCGACGGGGGCGATTTGTGGAAGTAGTAGGGCCTTTCGGTTGTCGGGGGAGGGGCGGGGAGAGGGTGTTGTTTGGCGGGTTTTCGATGATTATTCGGAAAAATTTAATGGCAGGTAAGCTACGAAACGGACAGAAAATTACAGGATTTGCGTTATTTATGACACATAAGATGGCCTCACAGCAAATAAATACTGGAACAAATGATCGGGAGAGGTGGTGGTCGGGCGGTGGCGGAGGGGGAGTGAGAGTTAGATTGTGTTGGGTATCTCTTTCGTTCCTATTTCAGTTTTCGCATTACGATCGTGGTCAGTGGAAACATAGCTCTAAAAACTTTGATCAGCTCAGTAAAGAGCCATTGCGTGCGTACGCGGCGCGACCATTCGTTCGCGTCCCGCCCATTCCCATCACTTAACAATAAGGCATCACAAAAAAGAATCTTTTACATGTCATAACTGAGAGAACCTGTTTAGGATTGCGGTCGAGGAATCGTTTGCCGACAATGAGGAACATTCGTTCAATTTCGATTTAGCGTCAACGAGTCAAAGTAAGCCAAGCCTCACATATTTTTTGTGACACAATTTGATTTTATCGTGTTTATCGATTGGATGGTTGCGCGCCACGCGCTACAAAGGAGTCTCTTACCTGTAGTAATGCACATCTTTAGCGTCCGACCGGAAGCGGCTCACTTTCCTAAAAATGCCTGTGACACTACACATGCATGATTCGCTTTGCAAACGTGTGCGCACTCCTCCAATACGCGCGGCTCGTGGTCTAACCAATCGATATTCACCTCGTGCGACAATAGATTAGAAAGCTTACTGTTAAAACTCACTGATATTTTCCGAAAGATGAAGTTCTAGGGATGTGATTGCTTCAGTAAATTCACCCAGGAGTTAGGTATACTGGAAATTTTAGAGTTGATCGATAGTTCTATTCGAATAACCGCGGTTTTAGGTGTAGTAGGCTCTTATCCTTCTCTAGAAACATGCACCGTACCACTTGGCGTAGGCACCGTCATAATTGGTAAAAAAAATTTTGAGGCGGTTGAATGACTTTGTGATTCTATCCTTTATGATTGACTCCCTCGATGTAGCTTCAAAAAGCTCTTCTTCACTGGTTGTTTCTAAATAATTGTAGAAAAGGGTAACGGGTATAAACGGTAGATAAAGTACTATAACCATTCAAGAGTGCCTCCTACATCCTCCCGCTCCCCTCCCCCCTCACCCCTTCAAAAATTGCTACTCGTCCTCAAACACCCAGTAGGACTTTAAGGGGCATCTTCAAGACCGAACAGTTCTTGGTCAAAACTCTATGGAAACAGCTTCAGGTTATTAGCAACTTAGTTGCAGTTTCAAAACCTGTCTGAAAGTCTCATGGAACCCTGCACAAAACCTACTTGGGTCCTAAAGATAGACCTTTACAACAGAACGATGAGATTTTAACCTCACGCTATGGAGCTTTCCCATTTCGGCTGCTTATGCTCTGTTGAAGTGAAGCTCTGCTTGGTATGGCTGTTGGTGGGTAACTGTAAAAAGGGGTCACGGCTAGGTAAAATTACATCTATTCTAACAAGTGATGTCTCTTAGAAACCTCTTCTAAAAACTGATTTACTCCCTGCGAGGGATAATCTTCAAAGGCCACTAGCTACTGCAGAAAATTTATATGGACCACTTTCAAAAACCTCGTGCCCGTGTTCGTGTGAAAGGTGGCTTTCTACAAGAGAGTTATAACCTGTCTCTATCGTACGTCAAGGGAACTGGCTTTTCAGGACGATCTGGTCAATACTGGGTCAAAATGAGCTTTTCTTAATAGCGAGAATTCTTTCTGCTTAAGCATTCCTACTTCACCAACTGATAATTCAGATTTATTATGGCCATCCAGACAATTTTCCCTATGCTTTCAAGCAAATCTTGAAATTGAAGGAGCTGATCCCATTATCAGTCACTAACAATGCTCCCAGCATGCCCCACTTATCACTTATTTGTTGTGGGGAACATGACGAATTCCGGTTTAGCTTGTCTGAAGCAACCGAAGTGACAAGACAGCAGCTTTTTCATTCACAGTCGAAGTTTCTATGGCTGACTGATCGTTATCGCATTGAGCGAAAACCAAAAGGAGTGCGGCTTTGGTAAAAGGCGTGGCAGAAAACAAACTCAGAAGAATTGGGATTGATGATTTTCGTCCTCACTCTTCAGTTTCTGAAGCTAGTGGAGCTCACTCTCGGGGCAGGCACGTTCCAGCTAGCCTGCAAAAATCTGATCAAGAATAATTGACTTGAGACGATCGCCTATAAGACCTGCTGAAATGGGGGCGGAAGGAGGTCCACGAGCTGTCGTTTTGAAGCCATAAGTCTAATTTTAGTGGAGGATTGCTCCTAGAAGTTTTTGCTTTGAACCTTTGGGATAAAAGTGTTTTGATTCCTCTGACCTAATCTTAGTTGGTATGAAGAGCGGAATTACCGCGTGTGCGTCAAGGAATAGGCGTTTTTTTTTTAGTATTTCTTGTTGTGTCAAAAGGTTTATCTCATGTCACTGGGGACTTCGGCCGCATCCTTCTGTTTTCGATATCACCGTCTCAATGCCACATTAAGCCCACTTGGAACGATCCCTGACGATAATGTCGCCAATGGATGGGATGGGCGGAGCGGTTTTCGATTGACGTATATTGACCGGGCCATTGGTGGCTAGACTATTCGCGCGCTGGGGATGTGCTCGGGACGCGCGCCTCAAAGTGTCTTTCAGCATGACGTTCAGACCGTGCATCATCACAGACACGCCACCTTGTCGCGGGGTCCACTGCCCTTTCAGAGTGACATAGCGTGGCGAACCAGTTCTCACTGTGTATTGGCTTATCGCACTGGCGAAGGCAGCATCGCCTGAACTCCGGAACGCATTTCACCCACTTTGCTAATACACTTTTTATGTAGATACTACTGTACCTATGTCGTAATAACTTTGTATCTGATACACGTTATACGATGCTAACTATCACATTCAACATGATTCGGGCAGTGGGCGAAGTTTAGCGGTGGGCGGGGCCATAGGGGAGGAGGTCTCAGCGTGGGCGTGTCTTTTGAGGGTTAAATGAGAACTCGAAGGATGCATAACCCGACTTTTTCTTTCAAATAAATATACTATGAAACTGACGATTATATAAGTGACCTGACTGTTGTTCCATCCAAATCTAGTTTCAGCTCATCTTGACCTTTTGGCGCAAGCTCACTGTCTGGTAAGCAGTCCACCGCGGGATACTTCACCACCGACGGCCAAGCGATCTCGTAACTCAAACGGCGATCCAAATAAGGATTATCATACTTGTCAGGTTGGTCGTTAATACCCTTCATAGGCAATGCTCTCACCTCGTAATCAATCTGGTTTAGATGTGTGGGACACGGGTGAAAGCACCACGGGGTGGTCGATGGAATCTTCAGATGCACGTGATGGCAATGCATTCGTCCTTTCGACCGTATAAATGCCGTTCTTGCGATTTCCAAGATTATCGGTTTGTGGTTTGGCTCGACTTACGGCTTAGCCGTTTTTCAAAACTTTGTTTCCAGGAAGCCCGGAATGCGGAAGCACTGTATACTTACTCATGGAGAGGACATGGATCCTGTTGACATTAGGTACGGTATCTTACTATCGGCGCTTTACCAAGCTCTCGATCTAGAGATCTAGTCCTAGAATGAGTCTTACTAGACCAAAAACGAACGAGTCTTACTAGACCAGAACGAGTCTTACTAGACCAACCAAGCCTCCCAGCTTTTCGGGACCTGTTGTTTGGTTTTACCCATCTTGGGAGGTAAAATGCCAACTTGTACATCGATCGGACCCCACATGTCATACACTTGTCCAGCGCAAGACTGGAGCTTCTTCAAACATCACTACAACTTTGAAGGGAGGGCGAATACGCACCGCATCTCCAGGCAGAGCTCACCAAACACTTGCGCTTTTCTTTGCCACACTATCGGAGATGTTCCCCTATATTGGCTTTGCTGGGTAGAATTAGAGTAGTAGTAAGTGACGCTGCTTACGGCGCGCACGACCTGACGATCAAAACCTCAATCGTACGCCGCTAAGGTTAACCAAGCCTTCCATGCCTCTCGAGCCTTCCATGCCTGCTCTGGTTCGATCAATTGGTAAAGTAGGTATCCATGAGGAATAACAACATTGACTTGTACCTTGCTGATCCAGCAAGTCATTGTATAGGTCGAGTGTCATTCAAGTGCCACATCGATTCCAAATGGAGGTAAATGCGTGGCTCAACCCAAAACGGGATTGATTCGCTTCGAATCCTCTTCTTCATTATCAGCCTTTACTC